ACAAATACCAAGAAGCGTGAGAAACTGTACCTTCAGTCCACCTCACCATTTCCCAGTCATGCCCAGGGGTGGCAGCAGTGCTGAATCTCTTCCACTTGTCTCTTAGGATCTACTCAACCTTCTCTGGGAGCCCAATCTACACGGACCACATCAAGGGCTTCCAGTGTGGCTCACCCCTGGGCACTGGCAGGGGAGGGAGAGAGAAGAGTGAGGCCGGATAGGCATTCCCCCATTTCTCTCTCGCTGGCTCACTGGGGGCTGGCTGTATCCCTTCATCAAAAGTCACGCTCTGGCCAGGCACCCACCCCCATCTTGTCCACGGGTTCTAGTAGCCACTCGCTTCCTCTTCGGGTCTAGGGCTGGCATCAGCCTGAATTAGCCCTGCACTATCTCCTGCGTCTTCTCTCTACCTTTGTAAGGAATTTCTTTATTAATTCTCTTCAAGTACCAGATTTGCGTGTATCATCTAGCTCTCTTTTGGACTCTAGCTGATACTGGAGTCTTGTTGCTGGCCCAAGCTGAAGCCTTCAGGATAAATGAATAGAAGGACACCTTAGAAGCATCCTAAGGGACGTAACTAATCTTAAGAGGCCTGGAGGAGAAAGAAGGAAGGAATGGGGTTTCTCTACCAGCCCACAAACCACCCACAAGGATGTGGTCCCTCAACATCTGCTGCTAGGCAGCAAGGGGTGCGGTGTGTGGGGGGACAAAGGGACACACAGTGAGCACCTATCACGCGCCAGGCCCAGTGGAGGGACTTTCACACATATCATGTCATCATGAGCTATGTAACCCGGAACAGACTTGTAATCTCTTTCCATCCCAGTTTTTCATCTGTAAAATGGGAAAAATAATAGGACCTATCTTGCAGTGTTATCGAGAGAATTAAATAACACATATAAAGTGCCTATGACAGGACACGATACATAGTCAATAAATATGAGCTATTAATAATGACATTGATGATGACAATAGTTATGATCAGAAGGACAAATATCCCTTATAACAATCTCCTGAAGTGGGTATCATTTCTCCCATTTTAAAGATGAGGAAAGTGAGGCTTCATGAACTACATCACAAAGAAGAGACAGAAGAGTAATTACTGTGAACCCCGTCTGACACCGAACATTCCACCCTCACCACATCACACTCCCCCTCCGTCGCCTACCATCCGCCACCATTCACGATGCACGTAAGGCAGAACATACACATGACCCACTTGCTCCCCCACTCTTCTCCCCACGTCAGTGACAGAAGAGGCTCCTCTTTCTAGCTGACTCTCAGAATGCCTCCTAATGTGTTACCCCAAGCAGCCACTAACATCGATCAGAGCTGACTTGTGAGGTGAAACACTTGCTGTCCCTGAAGAAAACATTAATTCGGATGAATAGGACAAAATCAGACTGAGCAAAGAATGCGTGCTCCGCAGCAGATCGGGAACTTTGCTTGGTGCCCTCCAGTATCTCCAGGGCCTAGAACAATGCCTGGTCCATGGAAGCAATCAGTAAACACTTGTTGAATGAATCAATCAATAAAAGCTGTGAATAAAATCTATACGATGTTGACATGAATGAAATCTGTCAGAGCCAGTACCACGGCTTCGTAATTTACAGAGAATTATCATGGACAAAAAGAAGAACAGAAAATCCCCAATGCAAATTAGCCCAAGATAGGTACCACAAAAGAGTAACAAATTGTGGGTAAAATGAGAGAAGAGAGTAGTCTGAGTAACACAGCACTAAAAAGAAACATGGCATTGCTTTCGAGCATCTTGATCTTGGCGCAGTCTCCTCTGGCAGATATTCTAATAGGCCTGCTTTAACAAGCAGATGAAAATAAGTTACAATTAGTAACACCATTTGTCTTAAACTGTCTACAATTTAAGTTGATAAATAAATCTCTTCTTTTTAGAATGAGCAAAAGGGACCTTCCAGCAAATTCTGAGTGGGTGAGTGTGAACGAATGAGATCTTGAAGTATTTGAACATGAGTCCCAAGGGCTATCACTTATCCTTTTTCCACTGAAACAGAACAAGGCCTTGTATAGAGACTTTTCTTTTTTGACCCTAACATGGACATAGCTTTATTTTTTTTTATTCTAAAAGTCATGCATACTTATTCTAAAAAGTTCCCAAAATACAAAAGTTTACAAAGTAGAAAGTGGAGGGCAAGCCACTTCCTCTCTCAGCAATCACCCAGCTTCCCCGACTCAAATGACAACAGGGGTCAGCAAACTGTGGCCCGTGGGCCAAACCCACCCTGCCCCTTGGTTTTGTACAGCCTGTGAGCTAAGAACAGTTTTCACGTTTTTAAATGGTTGGAAAAAATCAGAAGAAGATTTTGTGGCACATGAAAATTACATGAAATTCAGTTTTCAATGCCCATAAATTAAGTTGTCTTGGCACACAGCCACATCGGCTCGTTTTTATCTATTGCCTGTGTCTGCTTCTACACCCGAGCTGCAGAACTGAGCAGCACTGCTGGTCTAAGAGAACAGATCCTGTCAGCCTTTTGGAAAACACCTCTCTTTCTAACTCACTATGTCATATTCCTCCATCTACATATCAAACAAATTGCTTGACACAATACCTCCTGTTTGTCTGAAAACATGCTTTTTTCATTCTACTGTATAAGGTGGCCACCTTAAGTTTTCATAGACCCATCAACTTTCTAATGGGTATTTCACCACCGCCACTACCCTACCAAGTTTCTCATAGGCATTTTATCACCAGCCATGCATTCAAGGGCGTTTCTTCCCCTCCTCGCTTATCTTGTAAGGAATACTGAGCACAGGGAGTATGTATTGGAAAGGGCTCAGAAGAAGTGGGAGTGATAACCCTGCAACTTTCCTTTGCAGTAAACACACCACCCTGATAATCAATCACTCTCCAACTTGGCTGGTCAGGTCTGCTGGCCCATGTAATTGTGCGGTCCGGTCAGGAGATTATTTGTCAAGCAACGTCTAGGGGGAGTGGGAAGCCCCAAACAAAAATGCTCAGTTTTATTCTTTTGCCCTTTTAGCTAGTATGAGGAACTAACTTCACACTGTAGTTCTTATACATAATTTCCAGTGACTCACAGATTCACATAGAATCTGATTTTACCTTGATTTAGTTTCCGCAATTATTTTGATGGCACTTTGTTGACATTCTACCAGCAAATGTTTTTTTCTTAGAAGATTCCAATTTGGTCAGTAAATCTGTACTAACGTAGATAGTCTTTGGTATTTGCTTTAGTGAAGACAGAGAAAAATCACTTTAACAATGCAAAAATAATTTCTGGGATGATTTTCAGGGATGGTTTGAATTAAGAGTTAAGCATTTTCCTATAATAGCACTATAAGAGGTCACTTCCTATAATAGCACCAATATTAAAGAAAATGAACCCTTTTTTGACTTTACATTTGATTCTAATTTATGTTGGTTAAGTTGGTGGGTGTTCCAATCACCAATTGCTGTACAACATACTATGTCAAAATTTAGCGGCTTAAAACAACGATAATCATTTATTTTGCTCATGAAATCTGCAATCTGGGCAGTGCTCAGTGGGGACAGCTCATCTCTGCTCTATAGGCATTAAGTGGGATCACTCTACCGAGGCTGGAGGATCCACTGGCAAGATGGCTCACTCACACGGCTGGTTAAGTTGGTGCTGGCTGTAGGCTGGGAGCTCGGCTGGGGCTGTCAGCCAGTGTCCTTATTTCCTTTCTATGTGGGCCTCTCGACGGGGCTCCTTGAGCTTCCCCACAGCATGGCAACTGGGTTGTAAGAGTCAGAGATCAAAGAAGCCAAGGCAGATGCTGCAAGTCATCTTATAGTTCACCCTGTATGTCACATGGTGTCATTTCCGTTGCATTCTACCAATGAGGCAAATCATTAAGGCCAGCTCAATTTCAAAGGAGGGGAATTTGATCCCACATCTCAATAGGAGGAGTTGCAAAGAATTTATGGCCATCTTTAATCTACCATATAAAAGAAATAATGTAAATGCATTTCTGAAAATCATGTTTTGGATATTGAAGTGGCAGCAAAGAGAAACCACGAATAGAATATCTCATGACTGAACCAACTCTCCTGGGAGGAAGTAAACCATAGGAGTCAAGAGCATAGGCTGCCTGGGTGTGATTCCTAGCTCTGTCACGTACCAGCCGTATGGCCATGGACACACTGCTTGACCTTTCCATGTCCCCATATCCTCATCTACAAAATGGAAAAAATAATAAAGTCTACTACATAGGGTTTATCTGGGGAAATCAAGATTCTGTTTTTTAATTAATTAAAAAACTGATATATAACATACACACAGGAAAACGCAAAATGATAAGTGCTGTATGAATTTTCACAAACTGAACACACTCATCTGTCCACCACCCAGACCATGAAATGAAACACTGCCAGGATTGGGGAAACAATAGGGAGTGGTAGGGACTTTGGCAAACAGGAGGGCATGGCCTCCCCTCTAATGGAGACAGCAGATTCTTGGCTCTTGTCAGTGGCTGCCATGTAGGGATAAAAGTGGAGTGTGCAGGCTGCACAAAACATGGCAGAGGGCTACTCTTAGTCCACGGGCCTGTTTGAGACTTTGCAAATAGGAGGTGTTAGCAGGGCGCATGCCTTGAGGAGCATGGGGAGGGTCTGGAATAGTGGTAAGGGGATGGGAAGATGGAAGGGTGCACAATAATAAGGGGATGGCAGCATAAGAGAGCTGACATTTTAGGTATAGCTAAGCATGGCAGGGATAACGGGTATGGAATTCACTGGGCTCAAGGTTCTGGAAGGAATCTTGGCTTGAAGTTGTCCTAACACAGGAAGAAGGCTTCCTGATGTTGGGAAAGACTCAGAGGCAGACCTGCCTACGAAGCCAAGTGCTCACCCTTCACCTGCGCCACCTACTTTAATCACTAAAGCATCTGCAGTGGGAGCACCCCCTCCCATGACCAACCATCCTAAACCGTTCTCCCCTGTTCCTTTTGCTCCTTTCCACACAGAGGGAGAAGTTTACCTTCCTCACTGTCTTGTCTTGCTTTTCTTTAAAATATTATGCTTCTCTGTGGGGTTCCTAAGTTCTTCGTCCTAGGAAACGTCTCACAGGACACATACTGCTGGAAGATTTCAGCACCTCAAATTCTTTCTGGAAAAAGGCGGATACAAATTAGCAAGATGAAAATGCAGTCCTGTTGACACCCCTGTCTATGAAATCTGAGGCATCTGGTGGACCTCTTCAAATAATCCCGAGCCCTCCTCGCCCCGGCTCAGGCACACAGCTGAAGCAGTGGCTCCTGCAGTTCTGAGTAGAGGTGGGAGGAGGGGAAATCTGGGATCATTAGCAAGTAACTGCATAACCGGCTGATCTAGCCGATGGCTGCCCACGGGATGCAGCTGGTGAGAGCAACATCAGGAAGAGGATTGATTTATTCAGAAATATTTAGCTCCAGCTACCATCTGAACATTATAGATGGGCCTGCAGCTTGCTAAACGAGCCAGCGCACAATAAGCCTTTAGGCTTAGTGCCTGGCAAAGGGCAGGGGATCTATGGCCTTTCCCTCTCCCCTCTCCCCTTTCCCCTTCCTCTCTTCTTTGGCTCTCTCAGGCTGTGTGTGGTTACATGAAGCTTTATCTACTTAAGGATCCCGCTGGTTAAGGTCAGCTCTTTCTCGCAAGCTCTACTCCCTGACTGACCGGAACTACATGGCCACACTGGTTTCCTATTGACCTGGGAAGAAAGATGATTCTGAATCATTTCATTCTTGTGTTAAAAGTCAAGTCTCTAGTTCAGAGATTCTGCATGTTTTTGGAAATACATTCTGTCCTCTATAAATCATCACGACCTTGGAGGCAGTATAACAGTATAGCTGGTTTGTTCTTGTGTATGAACACATTTTTATGCTCAGCACACATTCTATTGAGAGATCTACATACGTTAAATACATTTGGAATGAGGCAAGATATAAATTAATGACATCAAAGTGAAGAAAAAAAATTTTACCCCAAATCTCATTTTTTTCACCCTGCATACTTAAGAATAGTATTTTTTATGAAGCACTGTCTGGGGTGTTTCAACTACTGTAGCATAAAACAAAACTAAGGCATGACAACTATTTATTGGCTTCTCTTTGGTTAAGACAACACTAGATTCTTTATACTGTGAATAAAAATCTTTACTCAATAATTTACGATGAGCTATAACTTTTATTTAAGAAAGGATTATGTTGGAGAGGGAGAGTATGGGTGGTGATGGGAACATATTTTAGGCTACAAATAATAGTAATTTATGAGACAAGTGGTTTATACCACTCAGGATTTACCAAGAGACTCTACATTTTGTTTTAAATTTTAAAGCATTTTTATTTGCATCTACATTTTAAAGGCATTTAAAATTTAGCATATGTTCCTATAGAAACACAAATGCACACATACATTTTTACATAAACTGGACTATGAATTCATTTTGAAATATGTTTTTACAAAAACTTAATAATGCAAGTCTTTCTGTTATAATAGCTACATCTACAATGTTGATGCTCACCAATGTCCTATTGTTGGATATTGTGTCCAATGTTTCACTATTTATTTGATTATTTATTTATTGGTGAGGAAGATTAGCCCTGAGCTAACATCTATTGCTAATCCTCCTCTGTTTGCTTGAGGAAGATTAACCCTGAGCTAACATTTGTGCCAGTCTTCCTCTATTTTGTATGTGGGACGCCACCACAGCATGGCTTGACTAGAGGTGTATAGGTCCATGTCTGGGATCTGAACCTGTGAACCCCAGGCCACCCAAGTGGCACATGTGAACTCAACCACTACACCACCAGGCCAGCCCATGTTTCACTATTTAAATAGTGCTTAACTGATCATTTTTTACGGATATCTTTACATGCCTGTCCCATTATTTCCTTATGACAGTCTCCTAGAAGTGGAGTTGCTGGAACAAAGAATATACACATTTTCAAGTTTGGAATATAGATTTCAAACTTCCCTCCCAAAAGATCCTATGGATTGACATTCACACCATAGTACTCTTCCTCATACCCTTGCCAGCACAGGGTCCTTTATTTCTTCACTATCTTTACCATCTCATTGACATCTGTTTAATTAAATATCTTTGATTATTTATAAGGTTTAATTTTTTCATACATTTATTGACATCTGAAGTTCTTCTGTTGTGAACTGCCTGTTCACTACCAATGCAGTGTGAGGTCTCGGCTGCGGTTTTATCGTGTACATTGTTAATGCACAGCAAACATCACAGGCCTCTGATGAAGGCCCGTGTGCACTTTTGAAGCAATTCTGGCTGTAAAATATAAATAGGGTGAGACAGAAAAAGGAATGACTCAAACAAAGCTCTTATTTCTTGTCTGAAGCAAACAAAACACTCTCTCCAGTGTGGGTCAACACAACTAGCACTTATTTGCTAAAGAAAATGGGCTGGCTCCGGCTAATGAGTCATTTTAATAAATAATCTTCCACTTGGCAACACGACTTAAACTCCTTTTGCAAATAAAGAGGGGCTTATAGCTCTGCAAGCTCCAAGCGATGCATTAATGACGACAGGATAAACATACGCACATAGAGACATACATACACGAGCAGGGGTCCAGCTTCTCGCACAATGTCCAATAACTCTATTATTATTTAATCCAGTTAATCTTTCTTTCTTAAATTAAGACAAATGTCACATACTGCAGAGCTGGAGATTTTAACCAAAACATCTGAAATCCAAACGCCCTTTCTGAGTGTTCCATCACTTTAAGTGTTAAGTGGTACCTCATATTCCTGGATGTGTCCCTGGAACTCCAAGTTCGTTATTTTCTATTCCAATCCTGATTTGCCTCCGACATTCGTGACTTCTGTCCAGTGGCATGGCTATCTGCCCAGGTACTCAGGCTGAAGACTTTGACATAACCTTTATTTCTCCTTCTCCCTTGCCCTCCAACCCTAATCAACTGCCCAATCCTGGAGATGTTTCTTTCTTAGTTACTTTTTTTAACATAAATAAGCATTTTATGTTAGAATAGTTTTAGATCTACTGCAAAATTGCAAAGATAGTACAGAGTTCCCATAATCTCCTAACCTAGATCTCCCTAATGTTAACATCTGACATTATCATGGTACATGGGCCACCCCTAAGGAATCAACACGGACCCAATACTATTAACTCGACACTTTACTCAGGTGTCACTAATTTTTCCCAAATGTCCTTTTTCTGTGCCAAGATCCCACCTCCAGGCTGCTTCACATGTACTCATCCTGTCTCCTTAGTCGTCTCTGGTCTGTGACAGTTTCTCAGACTTTCCTTGTTTTGGATGACCTGGACGGTTTTGAGGAATACTGGTGAGGTATTTTCCAGAATGTCCCTCAATGTGTGTTTGTCTGACATTTTTCTCATCTTTAGACTGGAGTATTAGGTTTCTACGGGGACAGCCACAGAAGTGAAGCGCCATTTTCATCACCTATGAAGGGGACATTCTATCAACATGACTGACCACTGATGATGTCACCCCGATCACCTGGTTGATGTCGTGTTTGCCAGGTTTCTCAACTTAAAAATCACCTTTCCGCCTCTCTCGATACTCATTTTGCAGATACAGAAACTGAGGTTAGACATTCAAGGACTAGGTCAAGGTTAAAAAGCAGTAAGACTGAGGCTGGAACGCAAGGCTTCTCACTCCTAGTTCTGCGTTTCTCCCGCAACACCAGGGGCTGGCAAACTGTGATGCTCTGTGGGCCAAACCCAAGCTGCTGCCTGTTTCCACGAGGCCTAGAGGCTAAGCCTGGTTTCTGTGCCTTCAAACAGTAAACAAGTCAAAAGAAGAATATTTCATGACACGTAAAATTTATATAAGATTCAAATTTAACAGCTACGCTCCTTGTTCACATATTGCCTATCAGCACTTCTACGATACCTCGGCCAAGTTCAACAGTTGTGACAGCTACTGTATGGCCCACAAAGCTTAGAATCTTTACTATCTGGCCCTTTAGGAAAACGTTTGCCAACACTGCACTCCACCGTGATGCTAACTACCCACCAAGCAGCCTCTTTGTCAGAGGATGGAAAAAAGAAGCAACCCTTCATTCATAAGACGACCTCTTAACTGTGCAATTAACAAAGTGGAAAACAAGACACTTTAGCACATTTCTTTAGGGGGCCCGGATTTGAGGTTTGCTGGGCTTTCTCGTTCTTAGTGATGAAATCATCTGTGTGGGGAGGAGGGGGTTGGGGTGGGAGAGAGGCACAGACAGGGTCACAGAACAGAGAGAGACAGAGAAACATACATTGCCCTGGACATCAGAACTGGAGATGGGAGGACGGAGTCCCTCAATTAGCAGATAACACACAAAATTTGTGTAATGAGCCAAAAATCTGTACCCTGGGAGACTCTGTGACAGGCCAGAGGTCTCTAAATGCAAGCATTGAGATCCTCCCCCTACCCGTATGGCACAGGCATTCTTAGAAACTCTCCCCGCATGTTTTCAAGTCTCAGCTGCTCCAGGGTAATCCCAAGAGAGCCCCACGCAGCCCGCTCTCTGGCTCAGAGCACGACCCCCATCATTCCCATCCACAAACGACAAGCCTGGCTCCTTGCCCAACTCCAAAACTGTTCTGTTTATTTCTAACTCTAGGAAATGACAGCAATGTCTCATGATAATGGTATCCTGGGGTGTTATTTTAAGTATCTGATTTTTATTGTGTATAAAACACAGAAAATTACTTTTGATTTTTTCTTAATGTCTTTTATGAATAGTCATTTTTCTCTTTCTGAGTTCCCATCAAATGCCTATGAAATTTCTTAGTTAGCAGGATCCTCCTTTTGAAGAGTATTTTGCCAAGCAGATAAGAAGCTGGCATTGATCAAGGATCAGGAAAATGGGATCATCTTTGGAGAGGAAAATGCAACTGTCACAAAACAGCAAAGGGGGGCCATTTGAGGATGACTTCATGAAAGCAGATAACAAGCAAAACAGCCGACCCTGGAGAGTTCAAGGTTAAGGATGTTGCTGAGGCTGTGTAACCACGTTGACCTAAAGAACTCTACAACTGTTTAACACTTCATTCTTTTTCTAAGTGTGTTTGATAATCATAGCACCCCTGAGAGGTGAGGAGTTAGCCTCATTTTAAAAGTAAAGCCCAAAGAAATGGCTCATTTAAGTTACCTCCATGAAGTCAGGGCTCATCACTACACACCCAGTATGTGGGATTCATCACTGTTTACCCAGAACCCACGCCCATGCCTTGGAACGCAGCAGGTGTTCAATAAAGAAAAACGGCATTCAGCCAGTTGACAAATCCCCAAATCATCTCTCTCCTGCTATTTATATTGCTAATGGATGAAGATGATCCCTTGCTGCAATAAATGCCCCTCTTCCTTCTCTTCCACCTTCAAAGTCAATTGGTTGATTCGGCACTTGCCAGCCTGGGCATCACCTACGGGCAGCTCTGCCACTCAGTGAGCCCGCTGTCAATACAGAGAGCAGGAGGGGGACTAAACTTCCCATTTCTTGAGCATTGTAAGTTAATTAAGGGGATGGATACATCAATCTCAAAAGGCAAATGTGGACACTACAGCATTTATAGAGGATCAGTATTTATAGAGGAGATGTTACCTTTTAATAACTAAGTCTTAAAGCTTTCCAAGCTTACAGATGGAACTGGCTTTACTTAACAATTTAGCAATAAGAAAATGAAATGCAAGATGAGAATTCTGCAGAATTCTCTATACTAGCCTTCTGGTAAAGGCCAAATCTGTAAAACAGAAGAGTATTAGGATGCCCAAAGAAAGCAGAAGAAAAATCCAGCTGTCTTTCTGTTACTTTCTCATAAAAAGAGCCAAACTCTCAATCACAGTACACTTTGTACAATCAATTCATTAACCCCTATTTACATAATGACACAAGTGTTTGAGGCCACAGCTTTCCTTGCAGGAGGCATGATTTAAAAGCAAATGAAGATGCCAAGTGGATGGTGTCACAGGCTTGTTGAGCCTCTTCAAAAAATTTCTTTTCTCCTTTCAATCTCTGAAATGAATAGGGGCTTTCTGGTAATGCCATCTAACTTTGCATTTTAGAGACATATTGGGGATAACAAGGCATGAAATTGCTTTACAAAAGAAATCATTTTTCTGATTCAATAAGTAGTGCTGGGGAAGGGGGGTCCATTCAATACCTGATCTGAATTAGGGACAGCAAAGAAAATCTTTAATGCTATTCAAGTTAGTCTTGGACTGAGGTATTGGTTCTGAGAGATGATGAGAAAAGAATTCATTTAAAAAGAAAACCTAAAGAGTAGCTGGCCACAAGAGAGATATTGATTTTGTTATTCTCAAGAAACCAGTATATCGTCCCCAGAATTTGCTCCCAGACCACCCAGCTATGATGGCATCACTAGATACATAAAGCCCAGTGTCTGCCAAGGGCAGATTGGTTCCTCAGGCAAAACTCTAATAAGTTACTGGCTTGATGGTGGAAGCAGTGGCAGTTTTTTTCACTAAGACAACAGAGAGCTCATAGTTGCCAGAAGGAAGTTATTTTCTTGCCAATATTGGTCAGAAGTACAATTCTTTAGGAACAATTCAGCAAAGGCTTCCTCCCTGCTCCCTACCAAGACAGGCAATAGAATTGTATTTCTAAAATGAACGAA